GAAGATGTGGTATATATATACAATGGAGTATAACTTGGCAATCAAAAAGAATGAAGTCTTGCCATTTGCAACTACATGGATGGAACTAGATGGTATTATGCTAAGTGAAATTAGAGAAAGACAAATATATGACTTCACTCATATGAGGACTTTAAGATACAAAGCAGATGAACATAAGGGAAGGGAAGCAAAAATAATACAAAAATAAGGAGGGGAACAAAACAGAAGAGACTCTTAAATATGGAGAACAAACTGAGGGTTACTGGGGGGGGTTGTGGGAGGGGGGATGGGCTAAATGGTAAGGGGCACTAAGGAATCTACTCCTGAAATCATTGTTGCACTATATGCTAACTAATTTGGATATAAATTTAAAAAAATAAAATAATTCAGAGGTCAAGGGCTTCACCTTACAGGCTGATACTTCTACGTAATAGAGGAGATCCTGGGGATATGCATTTAATCATTCACTTTGAATAAGAGCTGCCTAGGGAGTTTGATTAAAATGCAAATATCTTGGCCACAGCCCCAGAGATCCTGATTTGTGAGCTCTAGAGAGGGCCAAGAATATTCATTCTTAACCAGACCCCTGGTGACTCTGAGGACCACTGCTCTGGCTTCTCTTGAGGCCCTTTGAAAATCTTTTAACATTAAGTGCTTCAATTTTGGGTTCCTAACCACCTCCCCCCAATAAAGAGGGGGCTCACTGTCCTACTTTTGCTAGTAGAGAGAGTAAAAGTCAATTGGCAGGACCATCTGTCTTGCTAGTCCTCTGCTTAATTCACGTGGGGCACTTTCTGTGGGCAGGTGAGGTGTTAGGGCGTAATTTAACATGGGAGAAGCTGCAGTTTAGGCCAAGCACCATCAAGTGAGTTTTGCAGAAGAGGATGACACATAGACATGCTTTTCTGTCTCTGTTTTGGCCCTCGTGGATGAGCCTGACCCACAACCAGCAGTGCTCCTGCCTGCTCCGCCCCCAGCCAGACCGCTGTGTCTCTTGCTTGGCCTCTGCACACCTTTGGTTTTTGAGTTCTAGCTGTGATGCAGTTTGTATGGACTATAAAGGGCATGCCCTGAGCTGCTCAGGCTTGCAAGGAGGCTGGACTCTTGGTTCCCTTGTGCCCGAGTCTGTGTCTAAACAGAGCCACCCAGCTGCAAAGCATGTTTTGCTTTCTTGCACAAATGAGGTTGTATTAGCCAGAGGAAATGTCTGCCCTGTTCTCTTTTCTAATCTGGAGAACAGGTCCTGGGCACTGAAGTCCTGGGCACTCAGAGTGTGGGACCTGGTAGGACAAACCTCAGCCCTCCACACTCTGCTGGGTAAGGAGGTCACAGGACAAAAGCAGCTGGCCATTTCCGCTCTGGTGGAAGCACCTGTGGGAGGCAGGAGTGGCCAGGTTAAGAGTCCATTGTCCTCATGAGGGGCTATTGGAACAAGGTTGGCTTGTTTAGTGCCATCAAGTCATTGTTCTAGTCTTACCTAAAACCCTTTAGAAATAAATAGGGCTGAGGCTTCCCGTGGCCCAGGAGAAGCCCCCACATCTCTTCTATCATCCATGCATCTGTCTGTCCATCTCAACTCGTGCTTCAGGATTCTCTTCGTGCTGAGTAACAGGCCGAGGTGGAACTTTAAGGGGCTGGAGGAACATTACCCAGAAATCTTCTGATAATCTGAAAGAAATTACCTGCTATCACTGACTTTTTGGATTCCAGATAATTGGTGTCATGGGTGTGCTTAGCCTATCATTTTGTAGATTACCCCAGTGCTTCTTGAGCTTTATCATGCACACGAATCCCCTAGGGATCTTATTAAAGTGCTTATTCTGACTCAGCAGATCCAGGTAGGGCCCAGGAATGTGCATCTCTAACTAGTTGCCAGTGCTGTTGCTGCTCCTGGGACCACATTTTGAGGAGTCAGGCTTTAAAAACTAGTCCACACAAGAATTTTTTTCATTAGTGCTTCTGCTTACACTCAAGGGAAGTTTGTGTTTGCCAAGTTAAAGTTGACTGAAGCCCTTTGGCAATTGACAGTTGAGCCAATGGTGCTTGTTGTCGCCAGCTTTCAACACTGAACCCACAGGGCCACGGGCACTGTTGGGGCCTCATTAGACTGTTGGCTTGTCAACACTGTGTTGACATGATTGAACCTGGGAACAGAAGATAAATAAAGCAGAGGGTATCATTTTTCCAGGGTCAATAAATACAATTTGGTTGGCCTAATTACCCTCTAATGAGAAGAGTCATCTGTTAAAATCCCAATACATTTGCAGCTCTCTCTTCTCTTTTGCCTCCCTGTCTTTTGTTTGGGGGAATTGATCAGGTACACGGAAAAGCAGTGAAACATCTAAGATACTCAGTACCACAGCAGAGCAAGTTCACAGTCCTGGGAGAATGAATAGACATACACAAATACCACGATTAGCCTAATGTTACAAATCTCTTCATGTTTCAGATTCCATGCCTTTGCAGAGAGAACAGAGTGTGTGGAATTTCCTGCATCTGCCTTAAAGGATGGTGACAGTGTAAATACTTGGAATTCAAGGAAACTGAAAGGAAAACCCCCTCCAGGTACCTGGGATAGAAAAAACAGCAACAACAATAAACAACAACACCACAGTGTGGTTTATATCTTCAGATTTTCTGTATGCTTGGGAAATAAAGCACCACGTAGGGACCAATGGTATCCTTTTTATTATTTATATGGTCCAGGGGAAGTTCATGATGGTAATGATGAATTTGTCAGCTCAGCAACCAGGCATAAGTTTGTTACCCAGGGAAGTGGCCTAAGTAGTATGTGTTGAACTAATATGAGAACCTTCTGGAGATGTAGTCCTGGTGTGTCAGTGCTGGACTTAGTTCCTGGTAAGGCAGAACTCCTGTGCTGTGCCCAGGTTAGCTGGATGCTGTGGTGAGGATCCCTGCAGTTCTTGGGAAGTTTCTGCTGCCCAGCCTGTCAGTGACAGCAGGGCTTGTAGATTCATGTGCAGGATTGACCTGCCTCTTATGAGGGCCAGGCATGCACAGGAACCTTTGTGGAGGCAGAGTGAACCTCCCCCTTCATTCAAAGAGTGTCATCAGAGATTTAACAGGCATAGGGAAGGAGGTCACAAAATCAGTGAGAAATAGGTTCAGAAAAAATGGTACTAGAAGGTTACTCAGAAAGCCAAGGGATGGGACTTTCTTTGGAGCTGCTGACATTGCAAAGTGCCAAAGACACCGAGTGAGCTCTGCTGAGAAAAGCAAGGAAGGAAGGGATTGAGAGGTGATGCGGCATGGTGCCGTTGGAGGTCTGAAAAAGGCCCATCGCCACCTCCACCCTCCTACATTTGAAGTTATTGGCAGAGATTTCTAGCTTCAGTATAAGGCAAGAACTACTCTCTGGGAGAAGAGAAGAAGCTGCAGGACACATCTGCGTGACAGGTTTCTTTGTTTATATAACAATACTGCACCTGAGGAGGACAGAGTTGCGTAAAGGGACGGGTGGTCAGGTGGAGGCGAAGGAGAGGGGTCAAATCACAAAGCCTGTCCCTGACACATACTTTGTGGATTCAGATTCTCAGTGTCCCACAGGAGCAGGGAAGCGTTTCCACTAGGTCTCATTGGCGGCCCTGATTTAGGTAACTTACGCCCTTGTTCTGTTGGTGAAGTGGGTTTCTTCAGAGAGTTTGAGAAAATGTCAATTGTCAAGGAAGATTAATGCTAATCTAACAAAAACAGTTAATTCAGGATGTATGCCATGCCTACTGAAAGTATTTTACAAGATTAAGCCTAGTGGGCAATATTTCAATCAGGGTAAAGAATGTGAGATGTCCCAGTTCCCCAAGGCATGCCAATTTCTGTAAAGGGGTTTAATTTTGGCTTATGTGTTCCTTGGCAACTTAGTTATAAAGGGAAACCTATCTGGCTGCATAGCTTACATTTGCAGCAACTACCATCTTCCCAAACCTGTGAATCATGCAAATTAAATTATAGATTAAAACATTTTCTTGGAATGAAGTGCTCAGACTGTGGCCTGCCATTCTGATGCCATTTCAGCAATCCCACATTCTGAATCTGAGGAGAGAGCCCGAATCCTAAATATGCAATCTTGTCTCCTCTATCCGTCACAGTGTCCCAGAAATGCCAACATTGCATTTCTCCTACTCAAAAACTGCCCAGAAATCCTTTGACACAGTCTTTTGGTTTGGAAAATAAGTGGTTTCCGATCTGACCCAAGGCCTCAGAGGCAGATGTTCAGGCCTTCCTGCTCAGTTCCCTTTCCCTATTTCCCACTATCGAGGTCAAGCATTTATCAGTATGAGTTTGCCTGGGCCCCTCTCCAGGCTGGGGAGAGAGGATGCTTCCTCAGGAGTTCATTGTGCCACCTGTTGTATAGAAAGAAGAGACTGTCAATTGAAGGGTTAGAGGGACACTGCTCAGAGAACTGACCTGGAAGAGATTTCCTGCTATTACCGACTCTCTGAGTTCCAGATAATTGGCATGACTTACCATTACCCCGTGCACTATGCCAATGCAGAAAAACTGTAGTCAAGATAAAGAATCATTTTAAAAATTGTAGTAACATATATGTAACATAAAATTTGTCATCTTAACTTTTTTTTTAAGTGTACAGTTCAGGAGTGCTATGTGCACTCACATTGCTGGGCAGCCAATCTCCAAGGCTCTTCTCATCTGCAAAGCTGTACCCATTAAAACAGCAAATCCCCATTTCCCCTCCTCCAGCCCCTGGCATCTGCCATTCTACTTTCTGTCTCTGAATTTGGCTACTTTAGATACCTCATGTAAGTGGGATCATACAGTATCATTTGGTGTCTGGCTTATTTTACTTTAACCTATGTCCTCAAGGTTCATCCATGTTGTAGCATGCGCCAGAATTTCCTCCCTTTTGAAAGCTGAATAATCTTCTCTTGCATGTATAGACCACATTTTTTTTTTATCCATTTATCCATTGATGGACACTCAGGCTGTTTCCGCCTTTCGGCTACTGTGCATGATGCTGCTGTGAACACACATATACAACTATCCCTTTGAGACTCTGCTTTCAATTATTTGGGGTATATACCCCACTCATCATGTATGGTAATTCTATTTTTAATTTTGTGGAACCTCCACCTTGTTCACTATAGTGGCTGCTCTGTTTTACACTCCCACCGACAGTGCATAGGTTTTCCACTTCCTCACTAATACGTGTTATTTTCTGGGTTTTGGCTTGTTTACTTTTTGGTTTTGGTTAATAGCTATCCTAGGTGTGAAGTGGTATCTTGTGGTTTTGATTTGCATTTTCCTATTGATTAGTGATATTTGAGCATCTTTTCATGTGCTTGTTTAATACAATAGTGCAGTGTTTTAAAAGTTCAAAGTTAGGGGCACCTGAGTGGCTCAGTCAGTTGAGTGTCTGACTCTTGGTTTCAGCTCAGGTCAAGATCTCAGGTTCCTGAGTTCAAGCCCCATGTCGGTCTCTGCACTGTTAGTGTGGAGGCCGCTTGGGATAATCTCTCTCCCTCGCTCTCGGCCTCTCCCCCACTTGGACTGTCTCTGTGTCTCTTAAAATAAGTAAATAAACTTAAAAAAAAAAAAGTTCAAAGTTAGTGCAAAAAATCCATCGTGATCAGAGCGTCACAATTTCAAATAAAGACAGGCTCCAGCAATGATGTGTTAGGTCATAAGGTAGCCTAAGGTAAAGGGAAAAAATGTGTGCCTCTATACACATTTTATTTATTTGTTTGTTTATTTATTTAAATGTTTATTTTTGAGAGAAAGATAGAGTGTGAGTGGGGGAGGGGCAGAGAGGGAGGCACAGAATCCAAAGCAGGCTCTAGGCTCTGAGCTGTCAACACAGAGCCTGATGCAGGGCTTTAACTCATGAACCATGAGACCATGACCTGAGCTGAAGTCGGATGGTTAACCTACTGAGCCACCCAGGTGCCCCATGTACATGTTTTAATTTATTATTTTTAATGATTGTTTCTTGGTTATTAAAATAGTTGAAAAATATTGAAGAATTGAAACATAGGTGTATTGAAATGACATTATTTAAAAAAATTTTTTTTAACGTTTATTTATTTTTGAGACAGAGAAAGACAGAGCATGAACAGGGGAGGGGCAGAGAGAGAGGGAGACACAGAATCTGAAACAGGCTGCAGGCTCTGAGTGGTCAGCACAGAGCCCGACGCGGGGCTCGAACTCACGGGCCATGAGATCATGACCTGAGCTGGTCGGACGCTTAACCGACCAAGCCACCCAGGTGCCCCCAAATGACATTATTTTAAATTTAAGTGTTTTGGGAGTTCTTTCATAGCTTTTGCTGAAGTTTTATATTCATCAAGCTTGGTACTGTTCACTTGGTTCTGCCCCACCTTGTAACCTCACTTTTGCACAGGACCCCTACTTTCTGTCTGAGGCCCCTGTCTCAATATTTGTTGCCTTTTTAGAGCAACACATATTTGCTCTCAGTTGAGCCCTCAAAGATACCTCTCCCCTGCCTTTGCTTGGGTTTCTCTGTCCCCTCTGTATATATGTTACCTTTCTGAGGACTCTTTCCTGATGATCCTCTCCACTCTGTTCTCTCAGATTGCTTATAAGACATCTATCTGCTTGTGGCCTATGAGTCATTGACAGGACAGCATCTTTTAGTCATAGTTTGGGAAGGGTCCAGAAACCAGGGCAGACAAGAATCTCTCTTCACAAACTCTGATGTGCAAGATAGATCAGTTAAAAATTTCATAATGATTTTTTATTACCACCTCACTCTCATTTTTTCACACATTAGGGGAAAATGTACTTGCCCCTCGCTGTGGGCATCTCTGGAAAACACAAGCACAGAGTAATGACAAAGGGAAAGAGTCTGTGTGTGTGTGTGTGTGTGTGTGTGTGTGTGTGTGTGTGTGTGTAGGGTACAGTAGTCATATTGCAAAGGTCATGACATGACCTTGGCTATCCACATTTCCTGAAGCAAATCTCCATGTTTTAAGAAAGGAATGGTTTGTCACCTGCAAAAGGGTGGGGCTAGGTCACTGGCCAGCATTGGACTTCAGGACATTGGTAGTATTTGGCTGGGTGGAGTATAATCTCAGGCTCCCAAGAGTTGGGTGTGGAAACTTGGGCGCTGCGTGGACTTCTTACCTTTCACTTCCAGCGATGACTTCCTGTCTTAGAAAGTCTGCTTCCTCCCAGTCCAGGCTCTATCCTATATAGGAATGCTCCATGACCTTTGAATGGGCTCTCCTCATTGGGGAGAACAGGATTTTTGGTTTAGATTTAGGAATTATGGAAGATTTAATCTGGCAGATGATGCCGACCTAAAGCTTTAGGTCTGTGCATTGTCACAGCAATCTTCCTCCTTGGCTTTCTGCCCAGAGTTGGCTGGGTGCCTGCTTATGTTTATAGTTATGGGGCATAGAACAGCCAGCACTCTCCTCTCCTGTGTTTCTCTTCATGTGGTGTCCTTGCCTCTTTCTCTCTTTGTTCTGGGCTTGACAGTCTGCTGGAGAGGAAGAGGGGTACTAACAGAGCCTAATTACTGTGGGACCAGAGTGATGCTACCTTCTAGAGCTCTTCTGAGCCACCCA